TTTATATCTGTTTGTTATTACAGCACAGTTTCTGATAGTGGTGTCTTTTAGATTCAAAAGCTTTTCTGCCTTTTTTTTGTATGTTTATTCTCATTGCATTCTTACAGAACAATAATATCCCTGCTCAATCCTCATTTTTATAGACTGAACAAATCAGACAATAAACCATCCTCAAGGTCTCGATTTCACAAACATTCAGTATTCATTTTCTTGAATGCTGAGTGACCAGCATTCCAGATGAGCCATCAGCTGTGCCTCATTCAATGATATGAGCATGTTCTTGGCTCTCCAAGGAATCACCTTGCCTCATACACCCAGGATAGCATTTGTCTTTTCCCAGGCCATATCTTATATATTTTTATACAGCTTACAGTCATGTGGCTTTTTATTATACCATCCTTATTTTATTATGTCCTCCTTTTATCCTATCCTCTTTATATCTTCCTCCTTCTATTTTTGTAGATGACAGATTTCCCAGATTTCATGTAGAGATTTTCATTAGTCATTCTGAAAGGAATGACCTTGTGATCTGCGTGGTCACAACTTTTCCAAATTCTACTATTCTAGTCCTCAAGTTCATCAGTCCTTCCTCTCTATTACCTGGAACTGACATACTTTCTAAATCAGTATCATCAGTATATTCTAGCAGCATACACACTAGCTCTCATTAAAATATTAACAAGATCTGCCTATTCTTTTTTGTCTTAGAAACTCAACCAGTAAGCAGTCTCTGGTTCTTGTTTTAATAAAATCAGCTGATGCCTCCCTCTTAATTAGTTTCTTCCTGACACCCAGTATTCCTTACTGATGCTTTCTATCCAGTCTAATAATAACAGATCATTTATTGAATCCTAGATAAAATGAGTATTTTGAACTTTTATCTAGCACTCAGACTTCTTATCAAATTATCACAATTTCTTTCACTACAGTGATAAAAAGGTAAAAGATGAGGTAAAAGAAGCATGCTCAGAAATGCATCCTTGTCATTGTTTATAACTGAGACTCAATCAATCAAAATTAAATTTTGGGAAAAAAGAAAAAAAAGCCTGACCACTGCACAAAAAGGTTGCCATGACATTAAGAGGAAAAGTAACAAAATTATGGAAAGAAGTAATGGTATTCTCAAGAAAGACAACAAACAACCCATCCTTATACCTAAGGCCTTCATCATCTAGCATATTTTATTTCTGATTTATTATCTGCTTTATCTGTCCATCCTATCTAGACCTGTACAAAATCTCTCATTGTATCATAAAATTATTACAAGGATGGACAGAAAACTAGTCCTACTGATTACCTAAAAACAACTGAGAAAATTAAAAACAGATTTTTTTTTTTTCCTAGTAATGTCTACTTCAAAATGATGTAGCCTGGAAAGCTGCTTTGCTTTGCTTAATTTCCATATTTCCCAGGCAGGGTTATTTTTAACACAGCATAGTGATGCTCGTTAACAGTCACCAAGTACCTCCAGGGAACCATCATATTCTCCACCACCAGAGGACATTTTGCATAACGGATGGAGTTTTCTTTTCTAAACCTTTACCTAAACTTCAGTCATTCGATAATGAGAGAAAGCCCTCTTCAGATCAGTTTTAGAAGGTGAAATGTGGGACAGTCAATCGGATGAAGAAGGGTTCTTAAAGCTGAACTGAGCTCACAAAAGAAGCACAGATATTTCACAGCCGGCACGGCTTCATGAGAGGAAAGTCCTGCTTATCAAACCTGATTTCCTTCTATGACAAGGTAACCCACCTAGTTGATCAAGGGAAGTCAGCTGATGCAATCTTTTTGGATTTCAGTAAAGTTTTCGATACCGTCTCTCACAGGGTCCTTCTGGACAAAATGTCCAGTACACAGCTGGATAAACAGATCATGTGGTGGGTGAGCAATTGGCTCATGGGCCGAGCACAGAGGGTAATAGTGAATGGGGTAACATCAGACTGGTGACCTGTCACTAGTGGGGTTCCACAGGGCTCCATCGTAGGCCCTGTGCTCTTCAACATCTTCATAAATGACTTGGACACAGGACTGGAAGGGATGCTAAGAAAGTTTACAGAAGACACAAAATGAGAAGGAGCTGTTGACTCACTTGAAGGCAGGGACGCCCTGCAGAGAGACCTCAACAAATTAGAGGACTGGGTAATCACCAACCATAGGAAGTTCAACAAGGGAAAGGGCCAGATTCTGCACCTGGAATGGGTCAACCCTGGATGTATGTACGGACTGGGAATTAGATGCCGGAAAGCAGTGTCAGGGAAAGGGACCTGGAGGTCCTGGTCAATGGCAAGTTGAATCTGAGCCAGCAGTGCCCTGGCAGCCAGGAGGGTCGTGTCCTGGGGGGCATCAGGCAAAGCATCGCCAGCCAGTCAAGGGAGGGGATTGTCCCGCTCTGCTCTGCATTGGTGCAGCCTCACCTTGAATATTGTGGCAGTTTTGGGCACTGCAATATAAGAAAGATATTAAGCTCTTACAGAGGGTCCAAAGGAGGGCAATGGAGATGGTGAAGGACCTTGAGGGGAAGCCGTATGAGGAGTGGCTGAGGTCACTTGGTCTGTTCAGCCTGGAGAAGAGGAGACTGAGGGGAGACTTCTACAACTTCCTTGTGATGGAAAGAGAAGCAGCAGGCACTGATCTTTTCTCTGTGGTGACCAATGACAGAACATAAGGGAATGTCCTAAAGTTGTGTCAGGGGAGGTTTAGGTTGGATGTTAGAAAGAGGTTCTTCACCCAGAGGGTGGCTGGGCACTGGAACAAGCTCCCCAGGGAAGCGGTCACAGCACCAAGCCTGATAAGGAAGTGTTTGGATGATACTCTCAGGCACATGGTGTGACTCCTGGAGATGGTCCCATGGAGCGCTAAGGGTTGGACCCTTGTGGGTCCCTTCCAACTCAGCATATTCTGTGATTCTGTGATTATCAGGACTTCACTGCTCATTGACAATTTCCTCACTTAGATGACGGTATCTTATCTGAAATTGGGAATTTGGAGCTTAATTCAAAAGAACATACAGAAAACCACTTATTTACAAGAATAATTACAGGAATGTATGTAGTCTCCAACAATGAAATTTGAAAAATCTATCAAGCCTCATGTGCATATTGTTCTAAAAAAAAATGCATTAATTTAATGCACTGATTTCTGATAAAATTTAACTTAAAAAATAATGTCATGACAAATTATGACATTTTACTTGCTCTACTTATGCCACAGATAGTACTGTTAGCCTGAGCCACAGCAAGACAAAGTAAATATGATTCTGAACTGTTTTACAAACATGAGTAATACGTAATCATATTTTTCATATTTGATTTGTTCTTTGAGTTCCATTACAACTTCATATGTTCCAGTCCTTGCAAAATTCCTATTGTTTTGAAATTTGAAAAAAATACATCAAGAAAAATTTGGAGAGCTGTAGTATCTTTCTATGAAGAATGGGAAAATCTGAACTTTAAATAGATAATGCTGAGAAGTCTTTGGAAGTCACAGTTCAGATTTTAAGTTATTTACTAACTTCATTGACAAGAGTGAGTTAGGGCTTATTCAGTGCAAGTCATCCTATGCTTGGCAGCCCTATGTGCCTTCCCCTTAGGCATATAGTCCTTGTTCTCAGTCAGAGCTGGACTACTGAGTAAGATTAAACAAAGATCTGGTCTGTCACAGCAATTCATATTTCAGTGAGATTTAGGAGCTAGAAAGGAACGCCAGATCAAACAAAAAATGCACATTCTGTAAAATACTTAATAAATTATGTTCTTTATAGTAAGTGGAGTAAAACATCAACCTAAAAATCCTTTCTATAATACAATACTATTTATTACTTTCAGAGATTATGATATATTTAAAATAACAACTTACTGTATACAAGCATCTATATTCTAGTCTCACACTTAGAGTGTATTTTTGAGCAACACAACATTAATTGCAATCTGGGCTTCAAATACACCTACTACATTTATCATTTAATCCAACTGCATGATTAGATACTTTCTGACTTAAAATTCATGGGTAGTGTAGAAAAGCATTACAATCTTTTTGCTAAAGCTTACCAAGTGAAAGAATCACTTCTGCTGCTCATCTGGCAATAAAAGAAAACCATGGGAAAGGGATGAGATATTTGATGATATAAATAAACAATACTCTTACTTACCTTAATTTAGATTACCCTGACTATGTGAGAGGAATGCTGCAATATGAGTGCATCTTATGCTAGGCTGAAGCCCTTCTTCTTTATTTTCCTTCTTTTAGTAAGAAAGAACCCTTAGGGTCAGGTCCTGCTCCCACTGAAGATGAACAAAAGTCTTCACTGGGGTTCAGGAGCAGGACAGGGACTTTAAAACATTTTTCTTTCCCTTAGTATCTTTCTGTACGAGCTTTTGCCCCTTCAGGCTATGCAGATATGAAGCTTTTAAGATTTCTAAAGTTGTAATAGTTGGAAATCTTATGTTCCTAATGGAGCATCATGCTGTCATCTAATTTATCTGAAATCACTGCCCCAAATTCCCAGTGTTATTTAAAAAAAACACAACTGGATTTACTCAACTAAGAAATAAAAGGTAGTTTTTAAAAACACATTTTATGCCACTACAGGTACAATCTTTCATCCGAGTTGCATAACTGCCATTTATTTGCTCAAATTCCAGTTCCTACATTCATACTCAACTCTGTTGCTAGAAGAAATTTCCTATACATAAAAAGTTCCTCTAAGCCAAACCATTATCCACTGTTGATACCCATATATATCTCTTTGCATTTCCTTGCCTACATGTAAATAGGACAGAAAGTTATTACAGTATGTATTCTAAAAGGCATTTGTATATTGTTTCTTGCAGATGTTTAATGATCAAAGAAAATTAATATAACAGAAATTTATTTACAGCTGGAAAATCTTCTCTCTTGAGTGGTCTATATTCATATACATGTAACACAGATACCATAGAGGAAATAATGGTAAACCATATTTGGTAAGAGTCCTGTTTCCAAAGAGTGTGTGTCTCACTCACCTGTTTGACTAAGTTGAGATGTGCTTCTGCTCCTTCGAGACACTATGGCAACCACTTTGGCACTAAAGCTGGAACGCCTTTTCTTCCCACCTGTTCCAACCATGCCGACAGCCGTGTCCGACTGACTCCCGTCAATGTGCTCCAGCTTATACATCTCTCCGCTCACACTTGTGCTCTTAGTGATTCTCCCTGAAGTCCCCATCCGTCTGCCTTGCATTTTAGGAGTAAATGTACTACAGTTACAAAGTAAAAACAAACATATTAATTTGTCTGTGAAAGAGCATTTCCAAAAGCCTTTTTTTTTAAATTACTAAATTAATTTTAATTCTTGATATATTTTCATTTATTTGGTTCAGCAATAAAAGCTTAATTTGATGCTGCTCCTAGTACATATTTCCAGTACTATAATTTCTTCTTTGCTTCTTTGAGGGAAATAAATAAAATGAACACTTTCCTATGTTTTTGAGTGACAGAAAGAGAGACATGCAAGATTTAAAGGTTATGTGAAGCCTTCCTGTCTATATTCCCAGAATACACAAAGAAATAAAACAGCAATTTTACAACCAAAAAAGATTAACATGGACCAGTAGTTTAACACGTGTCGTATCGGTACTATTCACCAAAGTCCTAACAGAAATGAAGATATCATCACCTATATTTTCATACTTCACAGAGATAACACAGAATGCAGTATTTTTTAGGTCTTCACTCTCTCACTTCAAGGCAAGCGCAATAATCACAGTATGAAGGTAAAATAATTTTGAGGCAAAATCCCTAATAATCCACTAGAACTTTCATTGACAGAAAGATTAATCACTCTGTCAGTTCTGTTTGATTTCCTTTAGCTATTGCATTGCATTTGAATGTTTCCGTACAAATTTTTTTTCTGCTCCTGCACAAAGATGCAGGATAAAGTATTCGGAAACACGGTCTAGAGAACAATTTCAAATACACACAGGACATACTAATACATAGACCTAACTCCATTATGACCAAGCAATGCCCTAGCTCTAATGGCAATATAAAGTTAGTTGTCACTCTGTAGAGACACAGAAATTTAAGCTCACTTCAGATGTAGTTGTTAAATCAACCAGGCACATAGGCAATTCCTTGATCTTGTATTGCTGATCAGTAGATCAGCTGGGTTTTTTTCAGTAATTCTGTATTTTGAAGTCAAAGTATTTGTTGACAAACAGTCCTGCTGTCCCTTCCAGCAGGTCCTCTTCCCAACAGATGTGACGGTCTAATCTTGTCCCTCAACCCCAACACCATTACCCCACAAAATAAGGAAGAGAAGGGTTAGAAGGGTTAGAAGTTTCAGACAGGTAAAAAATCAGGCCAGAGAGAAATGAAGGGGTCTGTGAGAGAAGAGATTACATCTTTTGACTTCTACGGATATGAGCCCTGCTAAAGTTTAAATCAGTCCTGCTCAAAGGAAAGTATAAAATAATGTATACCTAAATTATGTTTTACTGACAGTTACCAAGAGTTTGTAATGTGTGACCATAGGTAAAAGCAGATAAAAATAGACAGTATTTTTTGAAGAAGAAGCTGGAAAAGTAAAGTTTTTGAACAGATAAAACTTAATAGGAAGATCACTATCAACCTCTGCACAGGTTTTTAACTATGCTCAGCACTTAGGATCTGCTCCTATTAAGTTCAGATAAAAAAATAGCTACTAATCAAACAGGACACAGTGCTGTGATGCACTGAAGTACTCAAGAACAAATTTTAGTGGACCACCTGAGGCAGGTTGAACTTAAAATAGGTTCTGTCTTGTTCCCTCCTATCCCACTGCAACTTTAGTAACTGGCTTTTGGGTTTGCATGGCAAAAACAATAAGACACATGTATTTTGATGTTTCTCCATAGAATTCCTTTGTATTTTATCACAGGTCTCCCCCAGCACACAGTCTCTCACAAGTATGTGAGCACAGAGGTACACATTCAATCATTCTAAGAAGAATTTTAACTGGAAGAAAAAGTAAACTCAAAAAAGACCATCTTCCATAAATATCAAGGAAAAGGTTTTGTGTAAGGCAAACTAGTTCTGTTTAATTAAAAATAATATCAAACTGAGAAAAAATGCCCTAAAATATTTCCCATTTTCGAAATAGACTGATTTTTTTGAGGGAGACTAATTCTTGGCTTTAATATAAACTGTGTACCTGATACAGTACAGGTGTTTACTTCATACGCTACATATACTGCTGCTTTCTAAAGTGGCAATGATCTCTAAATGATTATATTTTTATTGTTGCTCACAGAATGCAATAACCTCAACTTTACAAAATGTCTAACCAAGTATCTAACCCAGCAACTACTTTTCTTTCAAGTAACACAGTCTTTTCTTTACCTTTCCACAAACACTGTCACATGAAAAAATATTCATTGGGATTGCCACATAGGTGTCATTCTTCAAACTGCAAATTAATTTTAAAAAGCAGTGGTAAAAATCAAAAAAGACATGCTGAAATTTCTGATAAACATTTTTTTTTACAATTTGAGAAGATTTAGTGAAATTTTTCTTTGTTAATTTTGGAGCTGGATATTGGCTCATAGCTCTAGCACACACTTGGGCTATGACCAGAGAATCTTAACAAATGTCTTCTCTTTAATAAGTGATGTTACTAACTTGTACACTTATCAAGAAAACCTTAAAACTAGAGATTAAATGTACAGTGTGATAATAGTGTCTGAATATGCAACCAATCTGCATCGCTAGTTCAGAATGCTGTCACACAAACCCTGTATTCAAACAGCAACTTCAATCCCCAAATCAGTGTATCAGGGCTGCCAACAACATTCCTACACCAGCCAGTTTGCAACGTTGAGTCTCTTTTCCTCCTCTGCTGAGGAGGTAAGGGCCCAAAGTCCTGCCCATAGAGAGCTACAAGGCAACACCATTAACTGGCTTGGTTCTCTGGAGGAGGAGACAAGGTCATTTCAAGCAGAGGGCAGAGTAAAGGTAGAGTCTGACACTTGGAGGGAGCAAAATCACAGAGGTTCCATTTTCAGGGGTTCTACTTCCTACTTTGATTAGACATGGACAATTCCTTTTCACCTGGATAATTCCTTTCCCCTAGCACTTGAAACTGGATTTTGAGCCATGAAGTTGTCAGTTCTTGAGTTTATGCATTGGTACGTCAGTAAGAGAGGAAAGAAACTGAAAACACTTCTTCTGAGAGCATCTCTTGACATTTGAGCTTTATTGACATGTATTTTTCTGATATACTAATGTATAAACCTATAATTTCCAACAATAAAGTTTAATGGACTATAAAATCTGCTATGCAAGTAAAGAATTGTTTAGGATATTATGGAATTTGCTCTATTGAATTTCAGGTGTTTTTGAATGTAATAAATTCTAAAATCATGAAGTTTTTATGCCAGTCTTCACCTTTTTTGTTTGTTTGTTTTTTTTTTTTTTTTTTTTTTTTTACGAAGGACCTGAAATGCTCTAATTTCACATTATTTAATATGAATTTAGGAGACAGAGGTGTCCATCAGCTGAGAAATAAGAATAGATAGTATGGCAACCTTTGGAAAAAAAAAATTTTGCTGTATGAATTCCCTAATTCAGGGACTATGGATATTTTCTCATCTATAGAAAATTTGCATTCTTCAAAGACCCATATAAATTTCATGTTTGATTCTTTGTGACAGGAAGAAGGAACTAGAAGATTCACCTTAATAAAAAAACCTGAGAAATTTAGAATTTAGATTAATCTTGTACTTGTTTTTACCTTGCAAATATGAAGTTCTACTTTCCTAGGAAATATGTTCTAGTGTACTAGTACAAACTAGTTATTAATTTGCTAGAAATGGGCTTAATGGGATAGGACCAAGGATCCTACTTGGTCCAATACTTTCCCTTGTCATAACAAAGCAAACAGATTAAGATTCCCTTGTGGTCATCTAATCCCTGGGCTAGTTTGTTATTTGTCACTAATTGGAACAATCTCAAAAGAAC